AAATATTTCTTCTATACACACGTGGAAAATAATTCTTTTATTTTATTCTCCAAGAAGAATCGCCCAGGGCGATTGGTATGGGAAATAACTTGATTTACCACCCCGGGATTGTTTACCTAATCCTTCCTGGTCAAAAATAATTTTTATTGAAGATCACAGAGTTATAAAGGATTCCGATAATTATTCCTGGTGCGTATATCTCTGCATTCGGAATATTTGGATAGTAAAATGTTACATAAAGAATTTTAGATTCTATACCCAATTCCTTTTAGAATTCTCAAATAATTTTGATATTTTTTCGTTATATAGATATATTATTGCATCAATGCGCCCTACATTTATTCAGAATATTCTATGATATTGTGGCGAAGTAATAACAAATATGCAACATCTGGTCCGGTTGGCGATGGGGAGAGGCTTGTTTGCTGCGTGGAGGACTGTGGGGGCATACATGGTAGAGATCAGGGTCAGCTAGAGCCAAATTAAAAATCTAATCATGACTATTGTGCTCTAAATCATAAATTAAATAAATCACTAATATCAAATTAACATCTGGTCTACACTAAGGACATACACTAAAGATTCAACAAATTCTGCAGAATGTACTTAACTAAATAAGTGACTACTAATGTAATCAATTTGCATACTGATATGTAAATATGTATATATCTCTTTAAACTACCTTTTTCCTTTGTTCATTCAAATATATATATTTCACACGCAAATATCCGATTTGAGGATATAGCGTGTATTCTGCAATTGTTAAATAAATAAATAAATAAAAATAATATAATAATTTATTATTTATTTAATTTAATTATTCAATGAAAATATTTGTAAACAGATTTATTATTTGTAAAATCATCATTTAGTTACCTAGCTTGCTTTCTCGATATTCTCTAGCTGTAGATAGTTTGGTTGATAATTGTCGACTGGTCGTGATAACGTCACCAATAAATACATCTTAAGATATTCCAAGACGTGATATCTACGCCACAATATATTTAATATTTATTTTAAAATATTATATACAAGGGTATCATTCCTTTTTGATAGTTTCATTCCTTTTTGTAATATTGTTATTGTACATATATCTTGATTGGTTATTGAGAGAGAGAGAGAGAGGACCTAGACCAAAGACTGAAGATCACGACCTACGAGGAGGAATAAATAAACACAATAACTTTTTAAAAGGTAATTTATTTACTTTTATTTATTCGATTTAAGTATGGAAACCCCGCTCTGTGTATAACACCAAGAAGGAAGAAACCAAGGTCGATGACCCTCAAAAGATGCAACTTGGTGCAACAATATCAAAATTTAATTGTGAATGTAATGTATACAATTTTTATTTGCTTATCCCTAGTACACGTGGTACAGGCCATGATAAGCATGGTGGGTAGAAATAGTCGACTGCTTTTACTGTAAGTGTACCACAGGTCTACACATGTGAAAAGCAGTTCGACTTTGCACTTACAAATGTGCCAGAGCCCCGTTTGGTTACTTGCACTCGCTGGTGGGTTTGGACTTTTGCAAGAATCGGGGGCCATTGGAGCATTTTTTTTTTAAACATAAAAAATGCCCAATGCGGGAATCGAACCCGGGTCGTAGCGTTCGAAAACCAACGGTTTAGACCATCCTTCCACCGACCCCCGGTCATACAAAATGAATACACCTATCCTAAAAAATTAACATTTTATCAACAATACATAGCCAAAAATATTAACATATTTTTATCATATACAACTAAACGTTTCAAAGATATTCAGCGCCATCTATCGGTGAAAAAAAAAACAATTCAACGTTTATAAAATATTTTTTTTCTAATAAAAACCTTGAAACACACAAAAAAACATATATATATTATAAATTATATATCAACTAATATATAACTTCAAGAATTATTTTTGATGAGGAAAAAATGTTTTAAAAGAATTTTCTGTATATCTTTAATCCCTTTTCCCCCAAAGCGTCCAGTTTTAAAATGGCTTTTAAGTAACCAATCCAAAGCGCCGTGTTGGTAGAAGGTCAATTATAGAGAATGGAAGTAAAGCCATAATTGGTCTCTGTGTTCAGCCTATAAATGAGCTCTGCACGGATTAGGAACTGTCCCCATCTTAATTTGAGTTAATTGCATCCCTCAATTAATCAAGGTCCCCCCTCCCCCCCATACCCTCTCCCAAAACCCGAGGATTGCCAAAATCTCACCCAAACGAATTGGTTTCCCCATCAACGATTCTGTTAAACTCGCTATATACGCTCCTTCCACTTCAATTTCTTTTATTTATTCTTCCTCTGTTACACGAGATAAAAAGAAATACTATCAAATAAATCTTATAAATTATATATACATATTTTATAAATGGAACAATTAATTTGCATAGATATATCGCATAGATATGCAAATATATGGAAGGTTTGTTAATCAAAGAATTAATTGTTAAAATTTCCTAGAGATGGCGCTACGTTTATAAAAAATAAATTTTAAATAAATATTTTCTTCGATTATATGAGTTTTTTTTTTTTATTAGTTACAAAATAATAAATATTAACTCTTTCTCACAGCAATAATGATTATTTTATTTTAATATGGTTATGAAAGAATCTTTCCGTAAGCTTTCATTATTGGTGGAGCTTTCTCACGGACGGAGTTATTTACATATTGGTCCAAAATGGAACTTTCAAAAACATCCACAAGCAGCGAATGGCCACTGCGCTTTAAGAATACTTTTGATGGAGAAAGGTGAGTAGTGCTTCCAATCTTAATGACAAAGGCAGATGGATTCTTCTTTACCCAATCATTATTGACTGTATTGGCTCATCCATTGATGAACTCTACTCATCCCCAGCAGACAACATCAACAAGCTCTACAGGCTTGATACTCTAATATGATTATTGAGTGGAGATAAGAAAGAAGTAGAAGACAAGGAAGCGTCCATATCAGTAAACAATCAAAGAGGTCGTCGTCAACTCACCCCAAATCTCCAGTAGAATGATGTTTTAGCTGAACAGAGGATGGAATCCTTAATACAGTACTTTCCTCAAGGTCGGAGATATCCACTGGATCATATGTAAATAAGATTAATGAGGTATGCAATTCAGATTATTCGACAAGAACCACAAGGTGAACAGACTAAATAACTAAATTTGATTGAACGTCTCAATAACAATGTTGCTACCATCTTCAGACAAAAGTACTGAAGGAGAAAGATTAGCACAGCATGGTTTTAAAGAGTTGATACTGTTATTATTTAGGTACTTTGTGGTGGTGGTGTTCATCTCCATGGTTAAACCAATTCCTGAAGTCCTTTCCTCTCCAATTTTGCGATGGCAGTTATAGGCCTGGAAAATAGGTCCTCTATTGTCAGCTCTGAGCATGACAAGATATGTTGACAAGATATATACAAAGTACTATGTACATTGCACTGTTTGAGGGGCCTGAAAAAAGATGCGACGACCGGGAATCGAACCCGGGTCAACTGCATGGAAGGAAGCTATGCTAACCATTATACCACCGTTGCTTAGAAGATATTTATCGTCAATGGACACAGTAATATATAAAGGTATGTAAACATTAAGAACTAAGAGATATACATAGAACTAACTGCCAATTTCTACAGTATCCATCTGACAGCTAGGAAACACAACGGCCATTATCCACTGATCATTGTCAATTATACTACCCAAGTATGCTGGTGTTTATTACACTATACTTCTCTCTGTCTGTTTGGTTTGGTTTCTCCTTATTTGTTTATTCAATCTTCCTTCTTTTTTATTAGCATTGCTGACTATTGGTTCCATATGCTTAAATTGAATATTACACCTTAGTTCTATATATTTTATTGCTCAAAAAAGGAACACAACAAAACAAAAAAGAAACTACAATTGCAAATGATTTGATAACTAACTATAAAATATAATAATAATATCACAAATATGATGATAAAAAATTAAATATGTCTGCCAGAAAAATGCTTCTATGAATTAAAAAAATAAGAATAATTACAAAATTAACATATAAACTTCAAACACCGACACTTTATTTATTTATTCTTGACAGGTTCAAACAAAGATTAGCAAGGTTGATTGGTCATATTATGATACCTTTATTTCTTCTTTGTTAGGTTTTGAAACAAATACTTTGACGTGTCTATATTTTAGTCACCCTTTTTCTTCTTTTTCAGGTTGAAGCAAATAATAGAAACTTTGAATATATTTTTGATACCTTTTTATTTCTTCTTTTTCAGGTTGAAACAAATAATAGGAACTTTGAATATATTTTTGATACCTTTTTATTTCTTCTTTGTCATGAAGCCATCCCTGTACTGAAGAGGGCCATAGCCTGAAACCATGGTATTCAATTTGTTGGCTTTTTGCCTGAATTTTCCAAAACTGATGTTGTTTGGCTTATTCTTTATTATCACTAGTAAAGCTTTTTACTAAGGTGATACATAGTGCATTCTGCTAATGCATAATTAAAAGGAGAGATGCCTCTTTTGATATATCTTTAATTATATATATACTTACATACATAGATGGAAATTTTGCCGGGAGAAAATGGATCTAAAAAAAGCATAGGGTTTTGCCAAAGCTGGTGTTGTTGCTTTGTCACCGAACTTAGGCCGCTAGTTTGAGACGACGGTCAATAGATAGCGTCCAGTTTTGACGGGAGAGAAGCCTTATACTTTTATATTTATAAAGACATATATATATATTTAAGAAGATGCATATATTGGATTTATAATAATTTTAATGTTCTAATATTTCGAGGGGCAACTCGCCTCTCTTTATCGAGTAGGTTTGTGTTTTTCACTAAAGCATGCGAGCACGTGTGAAAAACACAAACATCCTTGATAAAGAGAGGCGAGTTGCCCCCCGAAATATTGGAGCATTAAAATTATTATAAATCCAATATATGCATCTTTTTAAATATAATTTTAATTATGGATTGCTCAGTCTTCTATATATATATATGTAGTATATTTTGAGTTATATGGTTCACAACCTTCTTCTGATATTTATTATATAACCCCTTATCTATATATAAAGATATGTATCGAACAATAGAAGTGACAAATAAACAAAGAGGGAGGTAGACCAGAGACGACAAAGGCCAGACGAAAAACAACCTGGCGCCATAAAATGACGTGATTACAGTAGCCAATCAGGAATCGCCACATATGCGGGCGTCCAGAGTTATATAAAGAGCCCAGAAATGGGACAAAGGGAGTTATTCAGGTAGTTGTTTTCAGAGCGACGCCGTGAGACGGTCGGCTAGGGCATCCGCGACAGTCTTCATCCGTGGTCTACCTTTTCCTCTTGAAGTTACCATCTAGACCTGCCTCTGTCTCTTGCTGTCCCAGTGCGGGAATCCCACATCACGCACCCACTACCACGACTGCCCAGCACATTCCACATCGGGTTTACTACAGACCCCGTTGAAGTCGACAGGATGACTGAGGACGGCAACCTGCAGAGGATGACAGAGGCCGAAGACGAGTACTTCGCGGATGCCCTCACCAACATGCAGCCCCACTGCGACGAACTAGTAAGCCGCCTAACAGACGCCATTCGGGGCCTAGCCATGCCTCGTGCGGAGGAAGCCCTCATTCCCCCTTTCGACGGATCCTACGCGGCAAACAACTTCATCCAACAGCTCGAGCGGACGAGCGAGGGACCGCAAGATGACGCCACGCTGCAAGCCCGGCTCCGCACACTGCTCAAAGGTGAGCCCCTCTCCCTCTATAACGAACTAAATCTGGCCTCTCTGCCATACAGTCAGGCAAAACAAACTCTGATAGACCTCTACCCCGGAAAATCCGAGGTCACCTTCACCAAATTCTTAACGTTTAAATTAAATAATCAAATCCAATTAGGAGAATATTATCGTCAAAAAATAGCAATGGGACTACAACTGGGCCTAACCAACCCCATCATAGTAGAGGCATTAACGGAAGGCCTCCAGGCCAATGATCAGCGTCTCATGAGGACCATAGCCCCTAAAACCCTTACCGAATGGTACACTACCATGAATAGAATAAAAGGTACAAATTCACTCCCTACTTCATCCGAACAATTTCAAGGTGTTACCAACACCAGTGCTTTTCACCGTAATACCGGAACCCCTTCTAGAGGAAGGAACTACAATCATTTTTCAACAGACAGTACCCCAAGATACCCTTCTAGTGCCAGGAAACCACCCTCACCATGCAAATACTGCCAAGGTGACCACTGGAACAATGAATGTTCCATGAACAGGCGACCCTACAGGCAGCAGGCCTATCACAACCAACCTACGGCGCACTATTTCCCACCTGAACAAAATGGCGCCCACAACCTTCCCGTGCCGGCCCCCAGGTCTTCTCGCACCCCACAAAGTAACGAAAACTCCAGTTTTCGTCCCTAAACTATCCAATATTCTATGTAAACCTAAAATTTTTAATAATTGTTATTGCCCATTCCTCTTAGACACAGGAGCCTCTATTAACATAATTAATTTAAATATTTTTAACCATCTTAGTAAAAACTTATCTAATCCTTTAAAATTATATCCATGCCATATATTAATCAATTCCATATCTACTCAAATAAATTCGATAGGATATACATTTTTGACCACTACCATAGGAAAAATTACAAAATCAATTAAATTTTATATAATAGATAATTTATTACCTTTTGGTATACTGTCATTAAATTCCATTAGTCAATTTTGTTTGACCTTAAATTTATATAGTCATTCTATTTATCAATGTGATGCTCCTTTGTCTAAGAAATGGTACCATATAACCTATGTAACCCCATGTAATAATGGAGAGAGTAACCACAATTCGCCCAATATGGGTCATTTTAAAAACATGCCTAATTCACATTCTCCATTATTGCAAGGGGAAAATATCCATCCTATACCATGTCCCATTACTTTGAACAAGACCTCTACCAATTGTGACAAAAATGCACCCAGCCAAACTTTAGTTCATCTTCCCCATTTATATTTATTACCCCCGCTATATCCCTCTGAACATCAATGTAAAATTTTTAATGATTCTTGTAATTTATGTGTTAGGACTGATATCCCTTTAACTTTTATGAATATTATTAAGAATTACTCAAATATTTTTTCTACTAACAAATATAACATCCCAAAATTGAAAATCCCCCCTATCAATATTAGGACAAATTCAGACAAAATAATTGCACTCAGACCGTATCGTACATCTCTTTCAGATCAACGTGAAATACAAGAACAAGTAGGGAAAATGCTAGAATATGATATTATAGAACCTTCTTTCTCCCCCTATTCATCCCCCGTTACTTTAGTTACCAAAAGGGATAAGACAAAACGATTTTGCGTAGACTACCGCCGCCTGAATGAAATAATTTTCCCCGATGTTCACCCCCTTCCGCTCATAGAGAATATCTTAGATAAATTAGCCAACGCCAAAATTTACTCCCGCGCCGATTTTTCATCAGCATACTGGTCCATCGAAATAAGTCCCCCTGATAGGAATTTATTATCTTTTGTCACGTTAGAGGGTCAGTATAATTTCAAAAGATTACCATACGGGATTAAAATAGGACCCCAGGTGTATGAGCGAGCAGTCAGTCAGATATTGCAAAGAAATAGGTTAGGTTTTATAGCACATTATTTCGACGATTTCATTATCTTTTCAAATTCCATAGAAGAACATTTAGATCACTTACAGCAATTTTTTGATATGTGTAATAGGGAAAATTTTAGATTAAATTATATTAAGTGTGACTTCTTTAAAACTACAATAGAATTTTTAGGCTATACCATATCATCAGGCACATACACTCCATTAGTAAAAAATTTAGATGTAATTAATGCCATTAAGGTCCCCACTAGCGTTAAATCCCTCCAATCATTCTTAGGCTCCATCAATGTATATAATAAATTTATAAAAGATCACGCCCGCATTAGGAACCCCCTCAATAACCTACTTAAGAAAGATACCCCATGGCACTGGAATGCAAAATGTCAACATTCATTTGACACTCTAAAGGAATGTCTCACCACAAAACCGGTACTACACCTCTTTAAAGAAGGACTACCCTGTCAGCTATTCTGTGATGCCTCACTTCAGGGAATAGCTGGCATCCTAAAACAACAACATCCCGACGGCACTCTACACCCCGTGCAATATTACAGCAGAACACTCCGACCCCACGAGAAAAATTATACCATCACAGAGTTGGAATGCCTTGCTGTGATAGATAGTGTGGAAAAATTCCGCATCTATCTCGCAGGTGTAAGGTTCACAATTTTTACGGACCACCATGCATTACAATGGTTAAAAACCATAAAAAACCCAACGGGTAGACTTTTTAGGTGGAGCTTAAAGATGTCCGCATACGAATACGATATAAAATATATAAAAGGTAAAACGCAGTACGAGGCAGACCTACTGTCCCGCAATCCTTTATGTGGTTTTCTCACGACCACTCAAATAATAGAAAAGCAACCCCAATTACCTCCATCTACACTTATAAAAACGAA